TATTGCAGGTTTTTAGTAAGTCTTCTCCCAATCCTAATGCCACATTATTCTTCAGATAGTCCAGCTTCTTGGATTATTTGACCAGAGTACAGACTGAACAAATATGGTGAACAGATACAACCTGACACACATCTTTCATGATTTTAAATCATTCAGTAACCCTTGGTCCATTTGAACAACAGTCCCTTGGTCTATGTACAAGTTCCGCATGAGCACAGTTAAGTGTTTGAAAATTCCCATTCTTCACAATGCTGTCCATTATTTATTATGATTCACAGAGCTGAATACCTTTGCATAGTCAATAAAATACAGGTAAACATCCTTCTGGTATTCTTTGCTTTCAGCCAATATCTATCTGACATCAGCAATGATATCTTTCATTCCATGCCCTCTTCTGAATCCAGCTTGAATTTCTTGCAGTTCCCTGTCGATATACCATTTTTCAATTATCTTTAACAAAATTTTACTTACATGTGTAATATTAATGATATTGTTTGATAATTTTCATATTCTGTTGTGTCACTTTTCTTTGGAATAGGCATAAATTTGGATCTCTTCCAGTCAGTTGGCCAGATAGCATCTTACAAATTCTTTTGCATAAATGAGTAAGTGCCTCCAGCTCTGCATCCATTTGTTGAAACATCTCAATGGATATTCCATCAATTCCTTGAGGCTTGTTTTTGGCCAGTGCTTTCAGTGAAGCTTGGACTTCTTCCTTCAATACCATTAGTTCTTGATCATACGCTATCTCCTGAAGTGGATGAATGTCAACCAACTTTTTTTGGTATGGTGACTCCATGCATTCCTTCTATCTTGTTTTGGTTCTTCCTGCATCATTCAATATTTTGCTCGAGTATCCTTCAGTATTTTAACTCTCACTCACTGCCCTTGAGTCAGATCCAATGCATAGTGACCCCTCCTTGGATTTCCAAGGTGGAATCACTACAGAAATAGATTTCTCACACTTCCTTTCGAGGAGTGGCTGGTGGGTTTGAACCACCATCCTTCGAGTTAGCAGTCAAAGCCTCAGGCACTCTGCCACCAGAGCTCCTAGTAAAAAGAATTTTGAATTTTTTTCTTCAGTTCTTTCAGCTAGAGATATGCCCAGTGTGCTCTTCTTGTTGGTTTTCTAACTCCAGGTCTTTGCACATTTCATTATAATACTTTACTTTGTCTTCTCAAGCTGCCTTTTGAAATCTTCTGTTCAGTCCTTTTATTTAATCATTTCTTCCATTCACTTCAGCTAATCTCCATTCAAGAACAAATTTCAGAGTCTCTTGTGACATCCATTTTGGTCTTTTCTTCCTTTTTTGTCTTTTTAATGATTTTTTGCTTTCTTCGTGTATGATGGCCTTAATATCATCCCATAACTTGTCTGGTCTTTGGTTAACAGTGTTCAATGCACCAAATCTGTACTTCACATGGTCTCTAAATTCAGGTGGAATATAATCAAGGTCATATTTTGGCTTTCATTGACTTGTTCTAATTTTCTTCAGCTTCAACTTGAACTTGCATATGAGCAATCGATGGTCTGTTCCATGGTCAGCTCCTGGCCTTGTTTTGACTGATAATGTTGAGCATCTTCTTTAGTTCTTTCCACATATGTAGTCAATTTGATTCCCCTGTATCCCATCTGAATACACATATGAGGATCATGTGTATAAACGCTGTTTATGTTATCAAAAAAAAGGTATTTGCAATGAATAATTCATTTGTCTTACAACATTCTATCATGTGATGTTCAGCATCATTTCTGTGACCAAGGCCATATTTCCCAACTACAAATGGAATACTTCTTTTTTGTTTCCAACTTTCACATTCAAATAACTTGCTGTTGTTGTTGTTATGTGCTGTTGAGTTGGCCCCGACTCATAGCAACCCTTCCTTGGGTTTCTGAGGCAGTATCACTACAGAAGTAGATCGCCCAGTCTAGTAATTATCAATACATCTTGACTGAATATTTGGTCAATTTCAGACTGCAGAAGACAGTAAAAATCTTTAGTTTATTCATCTTTGGCTTTAGTGAGTGGTGCATAAATTGAATAATAATACTATTTACTGATTTTCTTATTGTTATTGTTGTTGTTATTATTTGCCATTGAGTTGGCCCCGTCTCATAGCGACCCCTCCTTGGGTTTCCGAGGCAGTATCACTACGGAAGGAGGAATGCCCAACCTTCCTTCCGAGGAGTGGCTGGTGGGTTTGAACCACCAGCCTTCTGGTTAGCAGTCAAGTGCCTTAGCCACTATGCTACCAGAGCTCTTTGATTTCCTTATAGATGTATGGATATTATCCTATAACTGACAGCATTGTACTTCAGAGTAGATCTTCAAATGTTTTTTTTGTTTGTTTGTTTTGTTTTTTTTGTCAAAGAATGTGACACCATTCCTCTTTAATTTGTCACTCTTGGTGTAGTAGACCTTATAATCATCAGAGTTGGCCAATACCAATCTATTTCCGCTCACTACTGCCTAGGATATTGATCTTTATGTATTTCATTTTCATTTTTGACAACTTCCAATTTTTGTGGATTATTAATGAATGTTTGCAGCTGTTTCTTCTCATTTTGAGTCAAACCACATCAGCAAATGAAGGTCCATCCACATCATTAAGGTTGTCTCTACTTTGAGGAAACAGCTATTTCCCAGTCATTCTGAATGTCTTTTAACCTGAGGAGTACATCTTCCAACACTACTTCAGACAATATTTACTGCTATTCTTAAAGTTTTCCAGTAATATACCAGAAAATGTCTTACTGTTATTCATAAGATTTTCAGTGGCCAATTTTTTCAGAAGTGGATGACCCCATCTTTTTTCTCAGTCTGGAAGCTCCACTGAAAGCTTCCCACCATGGGTAACACTACAAGTATCTGAAACACTGGCATAGCTTCCAACATCACAGTCACATATAAGTCACCAGAGTACGGCAAAGTGACAGATTAATGGTGGGGAACTTCTGTAGATTCATGGCTTTGAGACCTTGCCTCAATGCAATATCGGGAAAGGAGGAGGTTAAGCAGGGGCATCGTGAGCCTTTATTTACCTAGAGAAGCTCCATTTGCAAACTTGTTTTATATATTGATGTCATGTTACTTAAAAAAAAAAAAAAGACTTTTTGTGACCACTGTTGTAGGTAACTAAATGGAATTAGAAATAAAAGAGGATATTCTATGTGCATTTTTATGTTATTGGCACATCCATGTTCAGTATTTGTTTTAACAATATTTGTGGACTGTAACATTCATTTTCTCCTGAGAGACCAAAACCAAACCAAACCAAACTCACTGCCATCGAGTTGGGTCTGACTCATGGTACCCTTCCTTGGGTTTCTGAGGCAGTATCTCTATGGAAGTATATTGACCAATCTTCCTTCCAAGGAGTGGCTGGTGAGTTTGAACTGCCAGCCTTCTGGTTAGCAGTCAGATGTCTAAGGCACTATGCCACCAGAGCTCCTGAGAGACCAAAGGATTATATTATTGAAAGTCCTCCAAGTCCTTCAAGAAATCTAGTAGTAGCATTTTAATACATTTTTTTCTGTTGCATTTGAGCTTCCAGAGAGCTCCCGACACCATATTGTTCTTTGTCTTTACAGTGGTAAGCTTACCATTTGTGTTATTTTGTAACTGGTAATTTGTTGTTAAAGAGATTAACTTTAGGGTTACTATTTTGATATCCTCCATATCTCTACACTGGACTTTTTCAAGCAAAGTGACTTTGAATGCATTCTAGATTTTCAATAATTAAAAAGATTATTAAGTCTATACTCCAAAGATAAAATTTATTAATGACATGAGACAAATGCAAAAGTAACTTTCATATAAAGCTCAATGTCAGAAAACATTCATATAAATAATTCAATATTCTTCTGGATCTCTTTGGATTGGAAAATAATAGCATTTTTTTCTTATTATTTTATTCAGGAAGCAAAGTAATTAAGAATCAAGCAGATAAAATATTGTAGCCTAAGTTTACTGAAAAAAATCCAGTGGGGATATCCTAAGATTGAAATGATTCATTTACAAGCCAAATTTGAAATAGGTATAAAGCAAGTTATTCAATAATAAGCATTCAAAGACAATCTCAGATCATGATATATGTGACCTGAAGATATCCCCCCACCAATTCTCTAATTCGTGGGAGGAATGCCTCCTCTTGGGCTCTGTCCCAGTCTTGATTTACTTCTTGAAAAGGACCTTCTTAATCTATTTTGTATTCTGGGTTGGAAGGGAGACTTTGGGGACTTTTATACCTTTTCCTCCCCCAAAACCTTAGAACATGGTTTAGCTGGTATCACTTCACTATCCTTAAAGACATTTCTTTGTCCTGGGATTATAGCTAGAATGCATTGGCCCCAAGAAATTTCATGATGTTGTTTTATTATATTCATTTCAAGCCCTGCTTGAGCTGTCCTTGCATCTAGGGTTCTGACATACCTCTTTCCCTTGCTTTGACTTGAGTGTATTCAGAGATGCCTTCTACTCTTTGTCCATAACAACAATTGTGTTAGAAAATGAGTCTGTGTGAATTGAAAAACTGATCTTCAGCTAGCTGAAGAGTTTAGATGGTTTTTCTAAAGTTAGAAGTATGTTTACTTTCAATGTTATATAGAACATGATCACTATATGTATGTGTGTGT